TACTTAATAAAGACAATGAACGTTGTGCACCACGAACCTTAAGCATATGGGGAATGATGAGTGAGGGGTTTCTCCTTACTTGTCTAGAGTGTTTAGTGTACGTCCCATCTGAGGGTGATATGCGACGCAATCGTTCCTATATCATAGTCTTTAGTGCAACGTGAATCTCAAAAAAAATCAATTCACTTCTCTAAAACTCTTAAACAAAACTCAAACTTTTTATCCTTTGAGATTTTTTCTTTCAAACTCATTTCCAGAAAAGAGTACGTTACTTTTCCGCTCTACCGCAAACAGGCATCGACCCTAACTTCTGGAATGGAAACTTAATGTCGCTCATAAAAAACACTTAACTAACCCGTGGGTTAGTCAGCCGAACTATGTTTATTCTGATTTCTCATACTAGATGAGGATACGTTGGCACAAGATGGTGATATCTTGGCGAGCAACCTTCCCCCATCACCCGTAGTTTTCTGAACTACGTTGACTCTGACTTTCCTATTGCACGAGGGAATACGTAGGCATAGGGCGGAGATGTCCTATCGAGTCTCCTTTTTCTTTTCCATTTCGTTCCCGTTTAGCAGTAGCTTTTAAATAACTCACCCTTTGATTAGACAACAAGTATGGATCCCGTTGAGTACAACGAACGTGAGGGGTGCTAATACCTTCCCCTTGCGTAACCGACTCTCGAACCTAAGATTTGGTTGCGATGACCTTGTCTTCGCCTTTATTTTAGGTTTTCTTTGATCATTACCTTTCCCTGTGTTGGGATAACTAACGTTCGGTGGCGACTCTTCTGTTTATTTCCGCCGGTTGTTTTTTCGCAGTTGCGACACAGATTAGCAGAGCTTTGTTTAACAAGTCATGCACATTGCCAAAACCATCCTTATTCCAAGCCTTAAGTTTATCTTTGAGAAGCTTAAGATTTTGAGAAAGAACATACATATGGCAACCATATACCTTAGTGCTCCAACAAAGTTGAACAATCTTGAGGCACTCAGGATGCTCAGACCATATTTTGAGGAATTTGAAACTTGATTTCATCTGAACCTTATGATAGATAAAGTCCAAGAGAATAGGAAAATGTTCAGATTTGTGTCTAATAAGAGTTGAGCATGAAGATGAGTTACAAAATTGAATCTAATTCTGGTCACAAATGACTATATCTGTTCTTCTTTCAACTAGCTGACTTCCCTTTCTACCATTGTGCCAGGTGAACTCAGCACCTCTAGTGGGGAGGTGGATAAGGTTATTGTTGTCTGTCCATTCTTGAAAGTCTATAATAGGAGTTCTAAAAGGATAAGAGAGACCCATATGTTCTTGAGCACCCAAGATAGTGTTGAAATCCCCCATAAAAATCCAAGGGACATCCTGTAAATTCTTTAAAGTAGATAGGGTGCTCCAAAGTTTTATTATTTTGATGTAGTTGGTGGAGGCATAGATTGCAGCCAAGCCAAAATTGTGTGGACCATCATTCACCAGAAAAGAGACATGTTGGTCATCATTGAAAACTATCTAAGGGTCTAAGTGTGAGGCACATAAACACCAAAGATTTGGGAGCAGACCTGGTCTGGAGTTTAAGGCAAACACCTTAAGATTCAACCTTGAGAAAAAATTGGGAGATAAGTTGTCCAAGCTCATCCAGGGTTCTGCAATGAAACAAAGCCCAGGCTTATGCTTTCTAATGAGGTTCTTAAAAGCCAATTTCATGGGTTGATTGGCAAACCCTCTGACATTATAGAAAAAGGACTTCATTTGGAAGGCTTGAAGGAGACAGCCTTGCCTTTGGTGCTAGTTCCAGCCTTCATGGTTTTCTGTGGAGCTTTTCCTTTCTTCTTGGACTGCTTAGATACCACCAACTGATAAGGGTTATCTATATCTTATGGATTATCATGCTCTTCGACCATGTTGGCCCATGACTGCTTCAAAAACTCCATGTCTAGAAGCACAACGCTATTGTGCTTAAAGCCATCCATTTCCACCATACCCTCCGCCAACTGAGTGGCATCAACGAATTTTGAGCCACTAGAACTAGAATCTTCAATAGTCAAAGGGGAGTTTCTAAGAATGTAGGCTCCAGAAGTATTTTGAATGGTCAGCAAATTCTAAGGCAATTCTTTAGTAGTCTCCAGATTTTGTACAAATGTACCATTCTGATTGTCTTCAGACATTTGTTCCTAAGATGAGGAAAGAATGATATTTGCAGCAGCCACATCATTGTCTGCATCTCAAAGGGGTGAGTTGTCTGTAGGGATAGAAGAGCCCTCCAAAACAAGGGAAACCATGTCAGATGAGGCTGGTTGTTTAGGTTCTGAATCTTTCTGCTTTTTCACAAAGATTTTCTTGGACTGAAGGTTACTCCACCTGTTTTGATATTCACAATCTTGTTAATCTTCCTGCAATTACCAAGATTGTGACTAATAATTTTACAGTGGTCACAAAAAACTGGAATATTTTCATACTGAATGTCCACAAAGAAAGCAAAATTTTTTCTTTCAACAAGGATGTTATTCCTCATGATTCCTATAAGATCCAAGTCAACCAAGATTCTAGCAAAATGACCATATGATCTATCAAACATTGATTTAGTTGTTGTATCATCCATGCAAATAGGATTTCTAATTGCACTAGCTATCGCATAAAGAATCTTGGTCTCCAGCATTCCTGAGCAAGCCCAGAAATTCGAATCCACACTTGTGCAGAGGTTTGTTGTTGATTATTAGGGTTAAAGTCCTTTATCCAAGAGAAACGTTTGAGGTGGCCAGGATTCAAATTCCATGAGTTTGTTGCACGCACTCTTTGAAGCTCTTATATGGAAGGAAACGAGAACTCGAGAGAAATGAGGCCCCATTTCCCTAGAAAACTCCAGATGTTAGAAAAGCGCTTCTTCAGTTCGTCCACCTTCAGTGGTGAGGAACCTTTTGGCCAGATGATACGTTCGTGGAGATTATGCTTACAATCGGCCATCCCTTGAAGGTACTCTTCTTCAGGGATTGTTATGGCAATCTTGTCTCCTTTCACAAGTGATTGTGGCACCTGGATCATGGAGATGTCACAAACATTTTTAACCGCCTGAGTAAAGGAGAGCTTCTTTCTTGGAGGGTGGAGAGAAGAAATTGAATCGACGGATAGAAGAAGGTCAAGGCACGACTAAGGGATGACGACAGGAACCGCCATGGAAGGATGGCGCCACCAAGGAAAATTAAGCGGTGGGGGAGGGAAACCTTTTAGGGAGGGAAATCATAAGCGGACTAGTATTGTCAATTTAGAACTTGCATGTCATAAAATTAAAATATTTCTAGTTCTTCTATTTACGTATTAATAGCGTTGACGCGTCGAAACTCATTGGTCTAATATGCAATGTATAGAAGTTACATAACTGTAATTTGTTTTACGGAAAAAAGAGAAACACACTAATATAAATTATTTTTTATACTGTCAAGCCATACTAAAAATTTTTAACTTAATTATATGATATAACAAAATGATATATTCTTATTAAATAATACTGTAAAATAGAAAGAAGGTAAATAATTAAATGCACCGTTGTGCAGTTATTTTGCTTATACAAGAAAAAAAAAAACAATGTTCCGTTATTTTAAAATAACTTTTTGTTTGGTCCTTATATATCCTCAAAGCCCAAGATATGACAACCCTAATCTCAATTCTCAATCCAAAATTAACTAAATAAAAAAAATGAAAGAGACAAGTTTGTAAAATAAAATCAACTGTTATGTCGTAATATTGTCTCTAAGAAAAAAATCATTAATTTCATTTCAAATCAAATTTAATATAGGTGAAATTTAATTACAAAAATTAATGACTACTATCATAATAACAAGATATGCCATTGCTTAGTCATAAACAACTCAATTGGCTCTCTTAATACAACTCACCTCAAAATTACCATTTTTATTCAACATATTCTTTATGGTCACTATAATAAAAAATATATTTTCTTTTTAAACTCATTCATTAATTGTCGTACATTAGTTATTCAAATGAATATCATACAGAGATAGTAGGGCTGACAATAAACCAAACCAACTCGAAGATAGTTCGGAATTCGACTCGATAATTAAATCGTTGAACTAGGTTCATGAACCAAATGCGTTGAGTATGAGCGAAAAATTAAGTTCGTTAACTAAATGAGCTGAACTTGAACTATACATAGTTCGACTCGTTAGGTTCATGAGTCAACTCGACTACATATGAAAAGAATTATACTGTCTTTAAGATTAGGTTTAAATATTTACTTCAAATATTAGACAAATTTAATCTTCAATTTAGTAGTTTTTGAGTTAGACTCTCAAATGTATCTCTTGAAAGTTGTGTAGGTTTTGAATTAGTAGATTTCGAAGATAAAGTTAAATATCAATATGATAACTTTTATTTTATTTTAATATTTTATTTAAAAAATACATATTTATTTAAAATGTCAAATATACTAAAAAAATATATATATATTTAAAAAAATAGTTTTTAAGTTTGTGAACCATGTGAGCTGAACCTAATGAGATGAACCTAACGAGTCGAATCGAACTGTTCGTGAACTTATAACGAGTCGAGTTTGAGCTTAAAAAAAAGTTCGTGTCGAACTCGAACTCGAATTCGAACAATTCTTAACGAGTCGAGCCGAGCTGAGGTGAGTTCGACTCGACTCGACTCATTTCCAGCCCTAAGAGATAGTAATATTACATACAAAAATCTTATTGAAAAGTCAAAACATAAATGTATACTTTTTCTTTTTTTTTTCTAAACAAAGTTTATTTTAATGTACATGATGAAATTATAATCTCTTTATCTAGTTTTCCACTTTAATTATTCACACAACAACATAGAAAACCCCACTCCAAAAAGTTCATCACACATCCAACTAGAAGATGCTTATTCCAAAAATATGATAAAAAAAATACAAAAGCAAAAAAGAAGAAGCCAATTCAACTCAACTTTGCTGAAAGAATTTTCATACAGACAGAAAAGTAAAACGACGTCGCCGTACGTCATCTTACCGTTGCAAAACTCATCTGTGGGACCGGAAAATATTGTCCCGGTTCAAGAAACGGGTTCGTACACCGAATCAACTCATCCGCCGCCACCGTGTTCCTACCCACCACCACCGTCAGCCACTTCCCTTCAATCTCTCCCTTCTTCTCCAACCCTCTCATCTTTATCTCTCTAACCATTTCCCAAAACCCATTATTCTTTCTTCTATTCACAAACAAAAGCACAAGTTTCTCTCTACTCTCTTCCAATCTCTTCAAATAACTCACCAACTCGTTCAACTCACTCACATCTTCGAATCTATCGATCCTCTTCCCAAGCTCTTCCAATCTCAACAGTATCTCACCCTGCACGTTTCTGTAATCTTCACCCACCATTCTCACAATCTCATAAACCAGTTCATTCCTCTGAAGATCCAAAGATTCCGGAACATCGCTAATTTTCTCTACGAAAACAACTAAACCTTCAAGTTTATACAACAAATCAGCATTCGACAATTTCATCATCGTAACTGAATCATTCTTTATAGAATTCGAATTCATGTAATAACCTAAGATTCTTGAAATGGTTAAAAACTGTTCAAGAACAGCGCTATACCAACGAACCCAAGAACTCAATTGCACCGATTCAAAATCCGAGTCATCACGAAAAGTAGAGAGGTTAAGAAAATTCCGACCACCGTAAGAAGGGTAGCAAGAGAATTGATCTTTAAGAGTGAAAGGTCCTTTAAGGATCACGTTATGGAGAGTAAAGAGACATTTCATTGCGACGGTAGCGTTTTTGGTTCTGTGGAGGCGGTCCATGAGGGAGTTGATGCATGCGCGAGGGAGAGTGTAAGAGGTGTTGCCGATTGAGAGGACGGCGGCGATTTGTGACTCGGACGGTGGAGATGAGAGGCTGTGGGAAGTGGCGCGGAGGATGTTGATTTGGACGGAGGAGACATGGCGTTTGATGGAGAGGGATGCGTAGATTACTGAAGCTTTGTCTTTGAGAATGTTTGAGAGAGTTTTGAGCCTTTTCTTTTGTTGGGCCATAGCGGGAATGAAGAAGCAGGGTGTTTAGGAGAATTTAAAGGAGTTGAGTTCAGAAAATGTTTTTTATTTTATTTTATGATTTATGTATTTTATATTTTATTTTTATTTTTTGTTGTACAAAACAAGGTCAAGTCAAATACCCAAATGTCACTCCCAAATTAACACGTCTAATTAATTTAATTTTGTTGATTTTAATAAGATAAAATATTTGAGGTCGGTAATATTGGTAATAATTTAATTTTTAGTGGAATTTATTATATTGATATGTATGAATTTTGACCATATAATACTTTTTGAAAGGCAATTTATTTTAGACCATATAATAGTTTTGATATGGATTGATAGGTCTATTCATTAGCGTTTTCTTGGTGATTTCTAAAATTGGTTAATTAATTAACGCGGGTAAGGTACCGAGTTTTTATTTCAATCAAGTGGATAAACTAGAAGACTTTTTTTTTTTTTTGGAATGAGACAAGGGCTATATATTTCTTATTTCCTTAGATATTTATTCGTATTTGTTTTGTCATTTTTAGGAATATAAAAATTTAGTTAATTAAGATAAGGGCTATGTATTTATTGCTTCTTCAGATATTCATTACAATTTGTTTTGTCATTTTTAGGAATATAAACATTTAATTAATATTGTATGAAAAAAGAAATTAAAAAAATTGTAATCAACTTTTTTAAAATAACATGAATGATTTATTGTTATTAAAAAATAACTTATAATTTAATAAAAAATTTCAACAAGATATGTTCAAATTTAAATGGAAGACTCGTGAGTGTTATCCAAAAGAACTAACAACTTATTTTGTTGTAGTTATTATTTTTAATGTAAATATTCTTGCAAATTTCTTTAATTATAGGAATGATATAAATTTTGTGAATTAATACAATTTTATAATTGGGTTGAAGTATGCTTAGTATTCCTTGATGAAATATTACTCTTTGCTTATAAAAAAAAATATTTATGATTTAATTCAAATATGATATCTTACAATGACTTACTTTTTTTTTTCAAAGACAACAACCTATCAAATCAAAAGTGTGGTTGCTAAAAGTATAATAACTTTTAAGCTAGGTGATTTAGGATTGTTTTTATTAAAGAGCAAGCTCATGCATATATTGTAAAAAACTTTTTAGCTAGGTAATTTCTTATTGAATTGAAAGTTCTTCTCAACTTTGTGGGTATGAATCCTTAAACATATAGAATAGTTATTTTTGCCTCTTTTAAGAGTGTGTGACTGTCATGCTCTTATTTTCTTTAGGAGTATGTGGCTTTTTTATGCAATTGAACTTGCATATCATTAGTGCTCTAGGACATGTCAATCCTCATATTTTGTGAGTAGGAAGCATGTAGTTTTATCCAAATTCATCATACGGGGAATGTTTTGACCATAGAGACAATTATCTTGGCGGATGATTCGATCAACAACGCTTATAAAGAACTTAGGGCGATGTGGTGTGTCGTCTGGCTCTTCACAATATATTGGTACATGATCACTCAAGCATGAAGGCATGTAAATGACGAAGTGATTTAGTTCAATATACTAGGGAACAAACAATAATACAAAATCCTCGCCAGATGGACCGATCTGCTCCGATACCAATTATATAACATCATACTTTCTCTGCGCATAAATATACAATAAAATCATAGTATTCACACAATCAAATAGGATATCACACATTCTCTTTTCAAAACATACATGTCCTGTAACACTTTATCAAATAAAAATAATAATCAACATCTTTACTTAGGGTGTCATCGAGTGCTTTCCTTCACTTAGGGTATTATTGCAACAAAAATTCTCATGATAAAGCATGCATTAACTAAATCATTTAAACTTCAAATGCACTTTGTAGCATAATCAAACTCATAAATGAAATCTCCTTTAAACATAGAAATATCAAACATGAGAGTATGCGACAACTCTCTAATGAAAGGTTAGACAAAAACTCGCAAACGCTTCCCAGTATTACAAATCAGAGCACATAAACTAAAATGCAGAAAGAAAAAGAAGAAGAAACATCCTCTCGCCACCCTTTCACTCTAAGCATCTACTTAGTTACCTGCTTATATCTATTCCGAAGAGGATCACATGCCATAAAAACAACAAAGGGATGAAAAATCACAAATAATAATAACAAGCATATGTTGCAAGGTATGATATATACACAACATATTTTACACAATATCATTCACAGAATATCACAGTACATTCTCATACCCAAACTCATTAATTAATCACAACTTAACAAAATGCATATGATTTATCATGCCATGCAACTCAACGGTGCAACTCTATGCATATGCGTGTGGTACTAACTCAATATTTGGTTCTCTCTAGGACCGGGTCCCCTCTTCTGAATCCATGATCCCCTTCTTCTGAGCTCCAACCCCCTTCTTCTAAGCCTGGGACAAGCCACTAGTTCCCTCTCTGAACTAGCATACATGCCTCTTTACACAACTCTTATGATGCATGGTTATATCATCAAATCAATGTGTTAAGACCCTCTCTGATCCTAACATAAATGTATTGACAAATCAAGTAATCCTCTCTCTAGATCACATCGCACTAAAATCACAGAGTGTACATTATCAATCAGTACTAAGAAGGTGGTGATTAAGAGCTTTGCCGGAGCTTGTTTGTGTGTTGTGTATATGGTTGTGTTTTGGTACACTATTGTTGTTTTTACATGGTGATGAGAGGAGTATAAGGGATTTTTTCATACATGAGAGACGAGTTAGTAAGCTTGCAGGTTGTTGTTTGGTATTGTTATGGTGAGGTGATTATTATATGGTGGAAAAGGTTGTTTAGAAGTGTGAAGTTTTATTTGAAGGTTGGTGAAACGATTTGTGTTGTTGAGTAAAAGAAGGTTTTATGTGTGTTTTTTTTTTGTAAAATAGATAAATGGAGATAGTATGGTTTGTGGGTGGAGTGATTAAAAATGAAGTGTGTTTATCATAAGAAGAGAAAAAAATGAGTAGCAGGAAAAAATGTATATGAAATGAGGGGTTTAGAAGTTAGAGATGTGAAGTGAGTAAGAGAGTGTATTGAAGGTGGGTGAGTTTTTTTTTTAGGTTTCTTGCAGCTCTTCTTTTACGTCTCCCTTCTTTCCTTTCAATTTTAAAAATGACAATATGGGTATCACAATGGAGCGCCGCTTAGTCTATTTAGATTTGCCCCCCCCCCCCCTTTCTCTTTCCATAACTTTAATATATATACATGCGGTACCTAGGGTTACTGGTTGATTAAAGTTCTAAAAATAGCCTTGATCAAAGTTTCTAGAGTGAAAATGAATTTTAAAAACTAAATCAAAATTAAATTAAACTATTCTAAATAATTAAAATTAAATCTAAATGAAAACAAATAAAATTATATTTAATAAATTCTAATATTTTGACAGAAAAATACAAATAAACGGACTCAAAATGAATGCACCAAAATGGTCAACACGAAATAAACTTCTCAAAAACATACATGTTTTGATAAAATTTTGAAATAAAAAATGACCAGTTAAAATGCTCAGACTGATCAAAATGTGATTGAAAAAGGAGCTGAATAAATAAAAAGAGCATGTCAGGTTAAACTATGTGAACCGTAGATTAATAAAATTGACGTTTGCAAGCTCGATTTTGAAATTTTTCGCCCGCTAATTTCACTTACATTTGAAAACTGATTCAATCGGTCTGTCTGTAGATCTAAAAATTTATTTTGGTCGACATTTTAAGCACTATTCGAGATGAAATGCATGTTATGATATACAAAAGATGTGAAAGTTATGATGAATGTACCAATTCAATGATTCAGGGTCAAAATTGGGGTGTAACAAAGGTCATATTGTTTAAAATGGCTTAAGTAACAATCAGAGGATGCAAGGAAGTTCATTCTAAGAAGAAGTTGAAATCCAATGCTACATCAACGGGCTCCATAGCTCACATAGAACACAAAAGTTCCTTGAGTAAAGTTTGATATTTTAGTAGTGAAAATAGCAAGAACATGGCTAAAGATAAAACATCTCATGGAAAGGGTATGAATTAAGGGCTCAGGGAAATTGGTTAATCTCGATCAAGAAGAGATTCTACTAAGAAAATAATTATCTACGAATATGAACCAACGGTGTGATCAAAGATGGAATATGAACTTCAACAAGTTTGAACATTTTATCAATAATAAAGGTAAATAAGTTCTTATGAAGAATGCCATATCTAAGAAAGACTTCAGGGGTTTGCAAGACTTTAGGATTGATAAAGACATTGTGTATGAAGAAGAAGGAACAACCAAGATGCTAGATAAGGTGTCTCAACATATTTCTCAAGAATTCAAATCATCTCACGAGGAATTGGTCATTAAAGGGAAGGCTGATGGTCAGGCTACAGGTCCTCCCAATTTTGAACAACCTACAATGGTTCTAAAGAAGAAGCTAAATAAGAATAGCGGATATGACATAATTCCTTCTCATGTGTTTGGAAGATGATTTGTTTTTGGGCTTTTTGAGTTCTTTTTGAACTTTGGGAAGTTCTACTAACATCATTTTTTATTTCATGTTTTGCTAGGTATTCCTTATTTTCACTTGACGGCATCTCACTTATAATGAGTAAAATTATGTTCTCCCTTTGGAAGGATGTCAAACACAAAGTTTCAAACAATGTGTATGACAACCGGATGCAATGACAATTAAAATGCAAATAAAGTAAATTAAACACTATAAGTTTGTAACCCAGTTTGGTGCAACAACACCTACGTCTGGAGGGCGTTAACCCAATAAAGGAAATTTGCTCTTAATAGTAAAATTACAAATTGGTCTTAGATGAGATATTCTAGTTCAATGTCTTTTTTCTTAATACTACCAATGAATTTCTATTTAGGATACCCCCTAAATATGATACCCCTCCCACTTTGTCTCAACAATTATCCCTATTGTTGGAAAGATTACAAAAGGTTGAAATGATGGAACTATTACAACTCAATAAACCTAACTTTATTCCTTAGGGC